AACAGGGCTGAAACAACTCTTCACTGTCAATTTCACCACTCCATGAGGAATCTACATTTATAGAGGGTGAAATGGGAATTGCTTTGACAACAGTAATTGTGAGTATCATATATAAACCAACCATAATTAAAAAAAAAATACAATGGCATCAAATAAAATCACAGTATTGTTTCTGAGTACCATTTGGATATGATGCATTTTTACACAAAGTAAAAAAACAAACAAACAAACAAAAAAAAAACACTGAAAAACCATGTCACCCAGCCCAGAGTCTACACTGTGCTAATGGGAGCAAATAGATTAAATTTTGAGTAAATTTGGAAAATTTTCACTTATTAGAAAATAATTCTGGGTTGATAAGTTATTTCTACTATTGGATAATTGCCTTCTCTGACCATAAAGGCAATTTGGACAATCATTAGGAGAGGGGTCCAATTTTTTTTCCTAAAACCAATGCTCCATTTTGTGCATGAAACACTCAGGGGAAACAAGTTAAACATGAAGTCATGTAGGTTTTAGATTTTTCTGTGTCCACTTTAAGACCTTACAGTATTAGGAGATACCTCAGATCCTTCAGGAATAGAAAAGATACAAATTTTATTAAAATGTTGCTAACGCAGGAGGAAGCAGGCACACAGCCCTCAGAGTCATCAGTGGTTGTCAAACTTGAACCTGGGTCAGGATGACTCCGTTAGTGGCTTATTCAAATGTCAGTTTTAAATGTGGAACCCTGGCTCAAGTGTTTAAGCTATCAGTTAATATATTCATTCACTTCAGCTTTGAGCTCCCTGGCAGGCAGGGGGAAGTAGAAGCACTTTACCTTATGTAATTTCACTCTTGTATGTATTATAAACCAGCAGATTTTAGAAGAGATTGAGGTGGGTGACTTACATGATTCTCATACTCTAAAACCAGTTTTTTTTTTTCAGGAGGGGCAATCATTTTTCTGGTTCTAAATTATTAAAAGAATGTTTTGGATAGTTTGTTATGTAAGGACCTTTGAAGAGAAAGGGCATTGACTTTATTATAACTTCTCAAGTTTTCCGGTTTTTAAGAATACATGCCTACTGTAGTAACAGTATAAAAGGGTAATCACCTGTAATCTCAGGACTAGTAACTATTAACCTTTTCTCTACATTCTTCTATGTATACATATATTTAAAATTTAAATATTAAATACACACTGTTGTAATACTTGCTTTTGCATTTGCCAATATTGCATATATATTTTTTCATGATAATCAGTATGAAGCTGTATTATCTTTTTAATGCATATGTTTCAGTATATTAATGTACAACAATTTATCACATTTTCTCTCTCTCTTTTTTTTTTCTTGAGATGGAGTTTCACTCTTGTTGCCTCAGCGGGAGTGCAGTGGCCTAATCTCGGCTCACTGCAACCTCCGCCTCCTGGGTTCAAGTGAGTCTCCTGCCTCAGCCTCCTGAGTAGCTGGGATTACAGGTGTCTGCCACCATGCCTGATTAACTTTTATATTTTTAGCACAGATGGGGTTTCACCATGTTGGCCAGGCTGGTCTCAAACTCCTGACCTCAGGTGATCTGCCTGCCTTGGCCTCCCAAAGTGCTGGGATTACAGGTGTGAGCCACTGCACCAGGCCTATCACATTTTCTTTTGATGGGCATATTGTATTGAACTATGCGTCTCAATAGGGAAGACACTAGGTTCAAGAGACTGAAGAAGACACCCAGAGACAGCAAATGAGGCATGGGATTTTATTAGGAGCATACATACAGGGGAGAGAGTCCAATGGAGGTAGGCTGGATAATAGGACTGCCTTAATTACAGAAATGGTGGTGGTAGCCTGGACAACATATAACCACATAATCCAGTGGCAGCAGGCTGGGCAGGAAAATTGCAACTGCTTGCAAACAGCATGCAGTTTGTATAGCATTTTCACTTAACATCCTCCTCCTAGTGAACTCCACCTGCCAACCTTCATGAACCCAAAACTCAGCGCCTCAATCTCTTGTTCGGTCATGTTCCACAGGATGTGACAGGGGCTCAGATGTTTATCATAGATAAGAAACCAATCTCTGTGTTGGCCACTCCCAGATTCCTTAGCTCAGAACACACATCAGGTGTGTCTGCCATAAGGGTCATTCCAAGAGTATGCTTAAGTTATTGCTATCAGTTGTACTTACCCTACAGCACAGTAAGTTGTTCTCATTTTCTCTCAGTTAAATAAAATGCTATACCTTTAATTCTTTATGCAAATATATTTGCTTACTGCGTGATTATTTGCTTTGACAAAATCCAAAAAGTGAAATGACCAAGTTGAAACGTATGCCACTTGTGAAAGCTCTTAAAACGTTTTGCCAAATATCCCCTAGGAAGGTGTTACCCATGTGAATGCCTACTGGTGGTATACAGACATCTATTTCTGCTCATCAGCACCAATTCGTGGGTGAAAAGTAAAATACTACGGTCATTTCTCTAATACTACTGAGGTGTAAAAATTTTATTGGCCATTCATATTTCTTATTTCTTGTTAATATCCTTTGACTTGTTTTTACTAGTATCATCATTTTTAAATCATAGGCTGTTTTTACAATGAGAATATGAATCCTTTGACATATTTTCCTGGCAGTTTTATCTTAAAATTTTGGTTGTATTTTTTATGTTGAAAGTAGCTTTTTATCTCCTTCAGCGTCCTTTTTGGAAATTTTTTTCACACCCTCCACCTTATAAACCAATTCCCCTGAATTTCCGAGTAATCTGTAACTTATTATCTATTTAAGTCTGTATTCCAAGAACAATTCAGTTAGTGGATCTTTTGTTTCAAATAGTTGTCCCAATACCATCTATTGAAAAAAACCTATCCTGTACTCAGGGGTTCAAAATGCTTTCCTCCGTTTGATTCTAGTTTCCATTCTGCTCTGTGTTGAGTGCCATATTTTTTCATATTATTGTACTTTTGTAATATTTTAATATGCTGCATTCTAACATCCTTATCTGCTAGAATAAGAGTATTAGCATGGATTTTCTTCTGTCTTTCATTTTCTTTCTTTCTTTCTTTCTTTCTTTCTTTCTTTCTTTCTTTCTTTCTTTCTTTCTTTCTTTCTTT